TGCTCTCCAGTCTAACTCTAATATGAGATAGATATGTAAATGGATAGAGACAGAAAGAGAGGAGGAGAGAGGGAGGAGAGAGAGAGAGAGAGAGAAAGAGAGAGAGAGAGAGAGAGAGAGAGAGGGAGGGAGGGAGAGATATTACCTTTTATCTCTAGCAAATATCTTGAGATTATTTCTCATTACTAAACTGATCACTGTGGCTCAAGGATTTGAGACAGTGATCGGCTTGACCTAGATCATGTGCCAAAGTGGGAGCCAGAATGGAATCACCCAACAAAATTATGAGGACTGAAAGCGGAGGAGATAGGAGAGTTCCTTAAGAATAGGGATATAGTTGAGAAACAATCAGGAAAAACCCCCAAATAAAAATAAAACAAACAAACAGATGAGCACAATTAATGAGCAACTTACCGTTTATTGAAGAAAATGTAAAATCCATTTCTTCGTGTAACCCTTCACACCACTGCAGAACTTAGGATCCATTTCTCTGATGGCTTTCTTACCTGTGGTCAAAGCCTCAGTTCATGCAATTTCTTTTAATATTTATTTTTTAGTTAGAGGTGGACACAATATCTTTATTTCATTTTTATGTGGTGCTGAGGATCAAACCCAATGCCTCACGTGTGCTAGGCGAGCGCTCTACCACTGAGCCCCTGCCCCAGCCCCTAGTTCATACAATTTTATATTTGGAAAGTACATTTGAGATGGTTCAGACCAACCTCCTTTAAACTTTCGCATGACACTAGGAATAGGATCCAGCTTTTGTACTAGTCCAACATTTTTACTGCCTCCTCAGAGGAGTTTTATTTTGTTTTCTTATTGTTTTTAATTGTCTTTACTTTTAATTCACACACAATAATGTACATCTTTATGGGGTAGAGTGTGATAATTCAGTACGTATATACAATGTGTGATGATTAAACCTAGGTAATAAACATTTCCATCTCAAACATTAATCATTTGTTTGCACTTGGAACCTTTGAAAGCCTCTCTTCTAGTTATTTATAAAATATGTGTAATAAAAACCCTATGGACTAGTGAAAAAATAATTATAGCACATAATCTAACTGAATGAATTTTTCTGGGAATCAAATGATATATGGAAAATACCTGGCTCAGTGTCTGGTGCAAGGTAGATATTCAAAGGATCTTTCTTTGAGAACTGGTGTGAGAAGGCGTTGGTAAAATTATTAAAAGTTAGATGAGAAGCTGAGAAAGACAGGTGACATTTAACAACATGGAGAAAGACCACCATATGTGAAAAATTTCAAGAAAAGTTTACTTCTCAACTTGCTTTAGAATTTTCATTTTTTTTCAGTTTGAAAATTAGCAGAATGATGCTTCTACCCTATGTGTCTTATCAAATGCAAACACTGAAATTATTGGGTTATTCTACATTTGTACAAATAACAGGATATAATTGCATTAATTTCTGCCAAGTCTTATAGAATTAAATAACAAAATTGGAAAATATATTTCTTAAAGCTAACAGCCCTAAATTATTTGAAATATTTATTTCAGCTAATTCCAGAAATCTCCTCCTTAACCTGGTTTACTACCATCGTGCCTCTGGTTCTGGTAATAACTATGACAGCTGTCAAAGATGCCACAGATGACTATGTGAGTATTTGTTCTTGAGCATGATCGAGGTCTCAGTTCCAATGGCAACATCTCAGAGATAGAAARTGGAGATCTATTTGAAGTTTTGGATGAAACTTTTTTGGTGAATACCACGTAATAATATTTTTCTATTTGTTTTGTTATCTGCTAATATTGGTGTCATAGAAGCTGTGCCTCTTTAAAAGCAAGAGGCTTTCAATATCTAGACACACTCCTTTGTTTTATAGATGAGGAAACTAAAATTCATAGAGAGCTTGCAATTTGCATAGGATAATACTGCCTACTTGTTGAAAAGCAAACTGGATTTAGAACACAACATGCATTCACACAGTGAGGTATTATTTATCCTTTATCAGATGTCTTTGTCTAAGTTTTGGGAGTTGGTAAACATTAGACACTCTTACATATTGTGCTCATTATACAAGAAGTTTCAAAATGCCTAAACAATCTCATGGTGCACACTGTGACTCTGACATTTGAGGTTGAATTTGGTCAATGATACCTTTGGAGTAAGTGTATGGTTGTTCCATATTACCTGACATTTCAGGGAAATAGCATTCATTTAGATGTATGAGTTCCTAAATAATGTCCTTAAAGGTCTTATTCATTATAGTCACACTTCATTAAAGAGAAAAAATAGTAGAGTAGAAAAAACATGGAGGAAGACATCTTACCATACCATTGACTATCATAGCAGTAAGTGGACCTCTGACCCTTCCTTTTTTTTGTGTGATGGAGCTAATGACATAAGCACTGTTAGGAGGACAAAATGAGGTGAAGGATAAAATGAGCACCAGATAGATAGCTGGGCTTACTGTGAGTACACTATGAATGCTGGTCCTCTGCTCCCTTCGTGCCTGGAGCAGATCCCCTCTAAGACTTTGTATTTATTTCTAGAGTAAAAATTGTCAAAAGGAGTCAGCTTGGGCCTGAGAAGACCAACTCTAATCCTTCTAGACTCCATCTGTTCCAATACCAAAACCTTTTTGCAAAGCCTGAGCAAAAGTGGGAGTTCCATCCTGAAGCCCAGAGTGTGGGTTGCTCAGATTTTGGGGAGGTGGTGAGCTAATTGGCATTTTTCTATGATGCTTAACTATTCAATTTAGAGGAGTATTTTCAGATTACATACAGCTGTGACTAAACATGAAGTCTCCTGTTGATTTTACTATAGTTAATGTTTGAAAGTGCTTTTATTTTTTGTGATAATATGCTAGTGCAATAGTTGAATATCTTCATCAGTAAGATATTCTGTCTTGGCAGGAGATAGCTGTCACTCTGAAATGGGGAAGACTGGAGAGTTTAATAATGAAGGGGTCATTTACAAGGAAAAGCACCTAGGCTAGCATCATGGGCTGCCCTACTATTATAACTACTAGGCCTGAAGAAGAAAAGAAGGAAGCAGTTRCCAGCCCTGGAGCTAAAGCTGGGGCTGTTTGCTGCAGCTGGGGCTATCTGTAGAGAACACAGCCATTGCTAACTCAACTAGAAGGAAGCAGGGCAATAAATACTCTCATTTTACTCTTCTCTGGCTTTCTGATCTTCAGTACCACCTATTGGCCAAGGGCAACCAGAAACAAAGACCACAGGGGACAACTTCCCATGGGCACAGGGCAGAATAGAGAAATTTAAGGTAAAGACATGGAGGAGCAAACAGAGGATGTTTGGCAACCCCACTAAACCATGTACTCAGAAAAATGTTTCCATCTCTAGTGTTCTATTGGTAGAAAGAAGTTTACATATCAGTGAATGGGCAGGCTCAATTTACTCCTAAAAGTTTATAATATTTAAATTATTTTAATCTTAAAAATGCTAAATAGCTTTGTCTTCTTATTTTTACTGGTAATATCCATTAACTTATACCTGTGTAATACTGTGCAATTATATGTATCAGGGATAGCATAATAGAAAGATTGCGATGGGTTTTGAAATGATGTTAAAAAGAAAAGATTTGGTTGAAGCATTTTATATGTTGTGCTATTGATACAACATTTAAAATAGAAAAGAATAGTCACTTATCTTTATGATTACAGTCTATAAAATCAAAGTTTCATGTCTTCTAAAATTATCCCCGTTCATATGTGTATGTAAGCTAATATGCTGAAATAATGTTGTCTCTATTTCAGTCTATTACAATTTACACTATTATCTATTACCCTTGTTCTAACAACTTGGAATAACTAACAAATAATATGATCTTGAAAGTTCATGTAGAAACATTTATCTCAATGGATACTAATTTCTGAGTCTAGTGAGGAGCTTATAATACATGGATTCTTTCAAGCAATATAAGATATTTACATTACTGGAAATATGATCTCTTGGGCATAAAATATAAATTCACACCAAATGTGGTTCAGTATTGTATTCTGATTTTTGTTTTAAATGCTTGCTATTTCATAAGATCACTGTTAACAATTAGAATTTCTGGAGAATAAAAATACATGTTGTTACAAGTAATTTCTTGACTTCAAAGAAATCCATAAAACAGAATCAGTGATGTTCCAATAAAGTATTGAGCACATATGTGAGAGAAATGGAAGTCCCCATTYTTGGTTGGAGTCATCAAAATTAATGTATGGTTTTCTCTGGTACTATGTGACAGAGGAAAGAACACATTGTCTTCTTAGAAGTGACTAAAAATGTGTGAGAATTGGAATTGTGAGTCGAGCATGTGGCTAGACTTCTTCCACTGGTGACGCCTAGAATGAGTTTTAGTGAGCTGATTGTTGATTTAGATTTAGAACATGCAGCTGGGTTCAAGGTAAGTATAACTGWGTTCATCTTAGGCAGATGGAGACATTGTCCAGATACATGCACTCAAAATATTTCCATTGACCCTTTGGGTTGACCAAGTGTGATTTAATATATTATCTCATGAATACTTTGATTTTCCAGTTCCGCCACAAGAGTGATAACCAAGTGAATAATCGGCAGTCTGAAGTGATCATTGACAGCAAGTAAGAAATGCATTCTTTGGGTTATTATTATGATTTCTGTGTCCCCAAGACTGGTCTTGACAACTGGTGGCTTTCTTTTCTAATTAAATTTTTGCTTTCTCCCTCCTTTAGTTTATTAGCTGCTGAAATATAATTCCATTCCATCTTCATGTCTTCTTTTCATACTCAACCAGTATTTATACCATTCACTCAACTTTTGCTTTGAATTCCTGTGGCTTTCTATTATGGGACACTGACATATCTTTGTCACTTTTTATTTCTAGATAGAACACTATTTAGAGGTGGCATACATGCCATGTTTTGTAGACTTCATGAGTATTTGAGTTTTTAAATTTGGCAATTTCTGGGGAAGATTGCTAGAGAGACTTCTGGCACATTACTGTGTCAAGTGATAGCAATAAGAATGTTGTATTCCCTTGAGAGTTGAATTTAGAATATACTATCCACTATATCATGAATTTTTCATTGCATTTAAATTTATCCATTAATGGAGAAATATTTGCAGAACAGTACTAGAATCATAAATGCTTTATAACGTGTGCTTTTATACACCAACAACCCTGAAAACATCTCCAGAAAACTTGACAAGAGTAAATTTCAAAGTTTCTTTCCATCGTTTCTTATTTGCTTTCTCTCTGTCCCCTCTTTTTGCTAATGGTAACAGGTGGCAAAGTAAATTTATAATGTATTTTTAATTCATAATCTGACAGTAAATCACACCAGCCAAAGATTTTTGAATTATTTAGATATTGTGAAGAATATAATTTTAAAAGAGAAAATAATAGAGMAAATCAACCTCATGTGAGAGAAGATTCCATAAAGTGATAGACATATCAAGAGAGGCTAGGTAGCTGAGATAATAAAGAGTAAGATTAATGTAACTAATCTCTTTCTGTAACTAGTATGTTGGTTGATACTATTAATGAAATGGATTCCTATAGTTTTTTTTTATTGTCTTGTTTTACAAAATGGTACTTAATGAAGAAAGATGATCTTACTCTAAAACCAGAGTTGTAGAGACAGAGCCTTGGAAAGCATAATTCTGGTGTGACAAGGATAAGCCATAAAGATGCTGGAACCATCTGGTWCATTTCCAGTGTTAGCAGGTTTTGAATTGTTGCCACCATAGAGTGGTGTTAAAAGCATGCGTTTTGCACTTGGAGGGACTTAAGTATGGGTTTCATTCTTCTGAATATTTCTGTGGTCTTGGGCAAGTTCCTAACCTCTATAAACATCAAATTCTTTGTGTATAAAGTGGGGTTATGATGGGGTCCCATGCATGGATGGAGCTGTTGTGAGGGTTGAGCTACTATAACGTGCTCTGCCTGGAGTCTGGTGTGTTGCCAGCATTTCCACGTGGCCTGTTATTTCTTTAAGGCATGGTGATTCTTTGTAAGCTAATGTGGTATGTGGCTTTGAGCAGTATTCATTGCATGTCTTGACTGTCTCAAGTAATGGAAGTTATATCTGATGTTATGACTAATTCTCCAAGGAACATTTGATAATCAGTTTCATTACTTTGTATCATCTCATATAAAGGGTGTTAAAATATATACAGTGATATAATTAATTTGAACTAATAGCCTTCATGTGTCTTTTTGTCTTCTCAAGTTAAATTTTGTGGGGATACCTGGATAAGATATTGGGGCTTCTATCTGGAGGCCATGGATTGATTAATCCAGTAACATAGATATTCAGAAGCTTGGTGGCTAGGTGTTTTTCACACATACTTGCTATCATTATCATCATTATTGGGAGTAGTATTAGTGCTACTTTCTTGTGGTTTCATTTATCCTTTCCTTAATTCCTTATGAGGTAGGTTCTGTCTGTAAATCAGTATGGCCTGACGTTCTGTGGAGGTATTGTTGCTGATTCGATGAAGTTGAAGGGAGATGCACTTATCATTAAGAATGGGATAATCTTAAGCATTTGGTGTAAATGCTTAAATTTACAAACATTTCCATTTGAAAGATCACTCAAAATTCTCCAGGGCRGGGGTCCTGCCTCTTGGTCATGTTTATGTCACTTGAGCCTACCAGGGTGTCTGTTGAATCTTGGAACTGAGCTGTAGCCATCTTGCTGAGAGGGCAATCTGCCAGAGAATGTTCTATGATATTTTGCTAAATCCTATCACTAGCCAATTCTGGTGGCTGATATGATGGTTTTAGCAGAATGTGYTCATGCTGTGGAGACTGGCTTTTCACTTTTTGGATTTGGAGGTGCCGGGGAAATCAAATGGGCTCAGATCTGAGATGTTGCAGACAGCTTCGAGTCTTCCTTTGGAGCTCGTGGCTCTACCTGGTTCTTCTGGGCTCAGAAATTATGTATATTACCTCTCAGAACTTGTACTTGCCACCTTCTTCAGAACACTACCCTTGGGTTCTTGGAACCAAAGATTAACTGGTACAGGAGTATGAAAGAGTTGCTTCCCTGCCTCAAGTTGGACTAACTCTGAGGTTAGTCACACCTTGTGCCAGAAGTCACACCTTGCTTTGCTGCTTCCTTTGTTCTATGATGCTTCTCATATCCCTTATCAGTTACTCCTAGTACTGTCTTAATTAGCTACTTGCACATGAATCCTCATATCAGGATCTGCTTCTAGGAATGCAGTTTTAAGACAGTGGTTAACGCGTAATTAAGCCCATGACAATATTAATAGAAAATATTAAGAAGGTGTTTTGAACCTCTCTTTGGCACCTGTGGGTCATGGTCCAAGCATAAAAGTAAAATGACTTGGGTCTGGGGGCCCTGGGAGATGGGCATTGCTGGGAGTGGGTGTCACATTGGGTTGGGCCCTGCTAGGTACTTGTGGCTTCCTTTGTGTGCTCTTGGCAGAAGGTCTTAGAGTCAAGGTCWTCATGCTAGTGCAGGAGAGACTGGCTTGTCTTGGGCAAGGAAAGTTATAGTCAGCTTTGGGGAGAGAGTCCCTGAGGAGGAAGGGTTGTGTTGAAAGTGCCAGTCAGGAGATCTGGGCCCATGTAAGTGATTGCTGTGTGATACTGGGCAATTAACTTTTCCTCTGGGCTTCAGGTGCCCTTTATCTTAGAAGCAAAGAAGGTGGGGGCTATACTCACATTCAACACATATTTATTGTGTGGGGGCCCAGTGCTCTCTGTTTAACTCTCATAAAACTCTAAGATATGGGCAATAGTTCCCCCATTTTAAAGATGGAGAGACTAAGGCTCAGAAAGGAAATGACTAGTCTAGGGTTCCATGGCAAGCAGGACCCTAAAWTAGAGTTCTCCTATCCACTCATGGTGCAATGCATAAATGTGAACTGACCAGGTCTTCACTATTTGTTTTTTATTTGAAAGGCTTTGTATACAATTATATAAGTATAAAATCATTACACAATATACATATAGCTTATCTATATGCAGTATATCCATGTATACAAACACGTATATCTACTTTTGGTGCCAGGAGCATTACTCATCTTCATTCTTGCTGTGCTGAACAACATTGTAAAACTGAGTCTTAAAATATCCATGAAAATAAACGAAATCTTTCCCTTCTGACCATCCTTTTAATTATTTTTTTATGGTCACTCATTTCTTTCATATTAGGACCAACYTTCTGCATTGACAAACTGTTGTAATATGTGAAATTGCTTTAGAAATGGGTGTTGCACTAGGCACTGATAACATCTTTTGATGACTTGAGTTGTAAAATTAAGTAGAGGTGGCGTGACTTCATATTGTAGAAATAAATGTGACAGCTATAGAGGAAGTACACACCCTTAACCGTAGGCCATGAAATAACTATTTGCCGGCTGACTCTATAAATATCAGTAGAGACGTAACTGTTTTAYAAGAGAACATTCACTCTCAAGTCATGCTAACTGTCTTTGGCCTCTGTGGGAGCAACAGGGCAGGTAAATGGCTGGTGAGAAGTACCCTGAAAGTTCCTGGAGAGGTCATGTGCACCATACTCCTTAACCTGGGAGTCATGTTAGAATAACTTGGGAGAGTTAAACAACAACAACAACAACTATGTCTATGTGCATTTATGTATGTATGTATCTATCTCTATGTTCTAGCCACATGTAGGAATAATTGAGGGTCTTAGAGGTGAAGGCCTAATGTTTTTCAGTTTCCAAGAGGAGTCTAATGTGCAGACAGGTTAAGGACCGACCTCTAATCAAACCCACCTCTTTACCCATATAGATTTCTCTAGCCTATATCTCTTTAATTTTAAGACACTCAAGGAAATGAATTTCATTTATTTTATAATAGGAAGCATCATTTTGTCAAATAATAAATATCCTTATAAAGGAATTATTCTTCAGTGCATATTTGTGATTTTTTTGGAAGGACTCACATTTTTAGTTAAACACTTGATCGATCAACAATTATTTTGCCATGTTTTTCTTTTCTTCAGAAATTCAAGATTTTAGTTTAGCCCATTTTTGTGTTTTATTTCTTTCTCCATTACATCTACTGTCCTGAATGCTGAATCACTCACTGACTTGCACATATTTATGCGACTTACAATTTTTGTTGTCCTATCCCATAAAAATTTTTAGTCATGTAGATATTAAACATGGAAAAGGATGTGCAGATCTTCTGTTGTCCAACTAAGTAGCTATTGGAGACATGCTTATGAGAACTTGGAATGTTTATGGTCCAAACTGAGATGTATTGCAAGTAAAAAGACTGTGTATGCCAAATTTTAACGACTTAATTAAAAAATTTAGCTATTTTATTAATAATTTGTTTTACAATCTGTGAGGTGAATAGACAGCCTATATCCTGGGAGAAAATTTTTGCCCCTCATACATCAGATAGAGCACTAATTGCTAGGGTATAGAAAGAACTCAAAAAGCTTAGCACCAAAAAAACAAATAACCCAATCAACAAATGGGCCAAGGACTAAACAGACACTTCTCAGAAGAGGATACACAATCAATAAACAAATATATGAAAAAAATGTTCACCATCTCTAGTGATCAGAGAAATGCAAATCAAAACTACTCTAAGATATCATCTCATTTCAGTCAG